TAGGTAACTTTAACTCCTTAGAAATCTGGTTACCTAAGCAATTTGTGAGTTCATTTAGTTACTGTATTCGCACTGCTAATGTATCTTAATAAGCGGGCTAGTATGCTCTTTAACAATTTGCATTTTAGGACAGTTTAGTGAAATATTTTATTACCTATAATTCTAATGATCATAATTTCTTCAGATTTCGACTAGAAAAACAGTTTTCTTTTTTCTTATGGTTGTAATATTGTGTATCTTCAATTTTATGCCTTCTGGATAAAATTGTATTAATTATACATCCATCAAATCATTAAAAAATATATAATAGTCAACATTAAATAAAATGAAATGTTGAAATTTTTTCTATATCCACTCATGCAACAGAATTTATAGATTTATGTATTAAGAGACAAAAAATTTCCGAAAGCAATTTCTTCTAAAACGGCAAAGGTTTTTCTTTCCTTTTGCAGGAAGAAATGACTATCTCTTTATAAACATTTGTTTCCTTATATAAATTTAGGGTTTATTATGCGATGATTATGATTGACAACAATACATAAGCCGATACAATACATAAGACGCAAAATTTTCTTTTATATTTAATACTTTACATCTCGTAATAGGCTGATCAATTTTTGACAGTAGCTATTGTCCTTTCAGTGTCTTGGCAGTAACCAGAGTATATAATAATGTTATACTCGTTGATCGAAATGACTTCACTAAAGTGACACTGTGTCCAAACTTTTCTATTGAATATTGGATTCTTTGATAACGATTTCCTCCTTTAACAATCTTCCATAAAGTGGGATATATCTGGTAATGAAGATTGCTGGTATGACTTAATTATTATACTTTACATTGGGTCACTCTGACCTTGGAAATAGGGCTTTATAGCCCAATACCATTTCCGAATATTTGAATGGATAATATAATATTAAGAAATAGAATTTTAAATTAATTTTAGAACATAAAGAATCACTTATAATACAAATAAAAACTGCATAAGTAAAACAGGATGTAGGAGAAATTAACTATTATATGCAATATGATTAAAAATAAATATAAATTTGAAATATGCACCGAGAAATGATTCCTTGGTAGAAATATTTGTAAATACATTTTCTATTCTTAAATGTAGAACATATTATGTCTTAAAACACCTCACGTTAAAAAAACGTACGTATTAGAACATCTTAAAACATATTATGTTAGAACATCTCAGCACATTTTACATTTTAGAATATCTTATGTTAAGACATCTTACATCTTAGAACATCTTAGCACATTTTACATTTTAGAATATCTTATGTTAAGACATCTTACATCTTAGAACTTCTCAACCCATATTACATCGTAGAACATCTTAGCATATTTTACATCTCAGAAAAATGTTAAAACATCTTAAAACATATTACATCTTACATCTTAAAACATATTACATCTTACATCTTAGAACATCTTAAAACATATTACATCTTACATCTTAGAACATCTTAAAACATCTTATGTTAGAACATTTTACATTTTAGAACACCTTATGTTAAAACATCTTACATCTTAGAACTTCTCAGCCCATATTATATCTTAGAACACCTTATGTTAAAACATCTTACATCTTAGAACTTCTCAGTCCATATTACATCTTAGAACTTCCCAGCCCATATTACATCTTCGAACATTGTTAAAACATCTTAGAACATCTTAGCACATATTACATCTTACATCTTAGAAAAAGTTAAGTTAGAATATTACTTATACACCTTAATAGTACACCTTATGTTAAAACCTCTTACATCTTATAACATCTTAAAATATATTTTGTTAGAACATCTTACATCTTATGTTCGAAGGAGAATATTACAAAAAATAAAACGAAACGAAGCAGTCTGTGACCTAAAAATTGCACCAGGCAATTTATAACCGGCCCCTCACACTGCATGCCCCCTCTTTGTAAAAGCTCAGTGTTTTCACTGACGTTCTATGCAAATATTTGAGAGAGACTCCTTTTGTATCCGAAAGAGATGAAAGAGCGATTATTATTTTTCAGCCCCGGGCGTACTCCAACACCCCCTCCCGACTCGACCACCCCCCACCCCCGCATTCAAATCTGTAATTAGCTGCGGTGTTGGGAGAGAGCGAGAGTAAAAAAAGTGAAAAATACCTCTCTTTGTAGAGGAGCATTTCACTTGGACTAGAAAGTGTTAATGCAACAGAGTGGTGTCTCAAATTTTCTTTTCTATCTATCTTCTGTTCTTTTTTTTTTTATTCTTGGATTTCTTAACCGCCGAGTAAATTAGGACTTTTTCTTTATATAATCCCTTACGAAATTCCTTCTAATATATGATAGTGTGTATCCTTTGTGGCAATGAATATTGTTTTATATTAGAGGTGGGATGGATGTTAAGACTTTTAGCCATAATCACTTTTTGTCTGTTATTTTGTTATAAACCTTTCATATATGATTGCCATTTAAAATTATTATTTGACAATGAAAATCTTTTAGGTCGACCGTTTCAACGATTGAAGTACTTCCAAGAAAAAACTTTTCATTCGACCTCTAATTCTACATTATGGAATCCTGTAAGTCTTTGGTTTTGTTGGCAGAGTCTAGACCTCAAGGCATCATGGAATTCAATCCATTGTCGTTTTATTTACTAGTTGAGAATATTACTAGGCAACGTCAATCCTGTTGCATCTAATTTTAATTGGAAAGATCTTTAAAATATTGATATTATAAATTATAAAAAATTCAATACTCAAAAAGATGCAGAACGGCTGCTGTTTAAAACCCGTGTAATTATCCTTGTAATTAATCCCAATTATCCATGTTTAAATTAAATGAGAAATCTTGAGTAAATAAAATAATACATTTAAACTAGTAACTGAAAAGGTCATTAATTTATATGTAATTACGTTAACTACAATCATTGTTAGGCCAATCTCTCAACAAACACAAGCTGTTTATACCCCCCTCATTAACGCTTAACGCAGATTTGTAACGCACGCTCATAGCATAATTGAAGACACTGATACAAACTTTTGATATATGATTGGGTAATATGTGGCATTTCAAATTATTATTTGGCCCCAACAATCTTTTTGTTGGACTTTTGCAGTGATTAAATTACTTTCAAGAAAGAATACATTTATTCGGGTTCTAACTGTACAATATGGAATCCTGAAAGTCTCATCGGTTTTGTAAACTGTGTCAAGATCTTAGGGCATCCTTGAATATGAACCATTTTTCTCTTGTAAACTAGTTAACCCTCCGACTAGAAAATGTTAATGCAACAGAGTAGTGTCTCAAATTGTCTTTTTCTATCTCCTTTTTTTATTTTTGAATTTCTTAACCGCCGAGTAAATTAGGACTTTAAAGAAAAAGTCCTAATTTACTCGTCCCCCAATTTCATAATTCCTCCCAATTCATTCTAAATTATGATAGTGTGTATCCTTTGTGGCAAGATATATTGTTTTATATTAGATGAGGGTGGGTGTTACTGTTACCCATAATCAATTTTTGTCTGTTATTTGGTTATAAACCTTTGATATATGATTGGATACGATTTGGCATTTGAGATTACTGTTTAGCCACAACAATCTTTTAGTTTGACCTATTCAGTAATTAAATTACTTCCAAGTAAAAACCTTTTCATTCTGCTTCTAACTGTACAATATGGATTCCTGAAAGTCTTTGGCTTTGTGCAAGATCTCAGGGAATCATAGGATTTGAACTATTCGCCTATTAGCCAACGGCCGTACCATGCTGAATATACACCGCGTGCCGTTGGCAAATTTGGGACCTGAATGGCCGAGTGTCTAGCGCTCTGGCGCCTCGCTGCCACAGGTTTCGGGTTCGAATCCCGGCGGTGCCATGGATGTTTGTAGTGGTTCGGAATCCACTTTAAGCCGTAGTTTCCGGTCTCCTATGACTGTAAGAGCGTCACGGAGCAAAAGTCAGGCTTCTACCTACGGGTGCTCCATCACAACAGAAGCTGCTTCCTTCCCCTTCAATCATGAGTACGTATGGGCTCGTGGGCTTGGCCAGCCAAGTGGGATAAGAAACAACAACAACACTATTGTTCTTTTGTAAACTAGTTGAGCATATTACTAAGCATCTACAGGACTGTTGCTATCAACAATGAAATTTTAATTGGAAATTACCTTAAACGATTGAAACTAAAAATTATAAAAAATCAATACTCAATAAAAAAATCAGAATGGTTATATATGCTGTATAAAACCTATGATTAATTTCGATGAGAAATTTAGAGTAAATAAAATCATAAAATTAAACTAGGAAACTGAAAAAGTCATTTAAATAATTTTGTTAACAATCGTTATTATACGAATGTCATTATAAACCCAAACTGTTTATACTCCCATCTTTTACGCAGATTAGTAACGCACGCTCATATCATCATTGAAGTCCGATATGAATCTCTGAGGCAGTTCATCGCAGTTGTTCATTTTATATAAAACAGACTCAGTAACTGTTATGCTGAAATGTGTGAGCGTTTCGCAATAGCAATAAGACAGCCTGACTAGAGTTATCAATGTTTCTTCCTTGTATCTCTCAATGAGAGATAATTACACCAGAAAGTTTACAAAAATTCCTGACCTGAAAGTCCACCTATAAAAACTTATATCTGAAAGTCCAACTTGACGAGAATAACAAAAAAAAGGCATACATAAGTGGAGCATCATTGGCAAACAAGAAGTATTTGCCAATAATATGTTGTTGTTGTTTCTTATCCCACTTGGCTGGCCAAGCCCACGAGCCCATACGTACTCATGATTGAAGGGGAAGGAAGCAGCTTCTGTTGTGATGGAGCACCCGTAGGTAGAAGCCTGACTTTTGCTCCGTGACGCTCTTACAGTCATAGGAGACCGGAAACTACGGCTTAAAGTGGATTCCGAACCACTACAAACATCCATGGCACCGCCGGGATTCGAACCCGAAACCTGTGGCACCGAGTGCCAGAGCGCCAGACACTCGGCCATTCAGGTCCCAAATTGCCAACGGCACGCGGTGTTCCCAGGTGGTCACCCACCCAAGTACTGACCGCGCCCAATGATGCTTGACTTCGATGATCTAACGAGAACCGGGCCAATAATATATATATATTTATATATATATATATATATATATATATAAACCATCATCATCATCATACTTGTTTCAACAGCCCAGATTCGGTCATTGCCTTATGCAGAAGTTTCCTCCAAAACAGCTTATTTTTTGCTTTAGTCTACCAATTTTTCGCAGTTTTCATTTTAAAATCTGATTCAAATTAATCAAGCCACAGTAGTGTTTATCTCTTATACAGCTAGTGAAGGGCTTCGCAACAAAAACATAAATTACTAATTCCTTTTTTTTTTAACTTTAAATATATATAGGATTTATCATTGTGATCGCTCATTTCTAATGAGATTTACTGAAAAAAGTATAAAATTAATTCTTTTTTTTTATATCAAAATGCTATAAATTTAATCCGAGTATTATGAAATTAAACTAATCGGCAATGTATTTAAATTCATCATTGTCATAATTTCCGATAGGATATACATTTCTGTTATAGTGTAGAGGGTGATAATAAAAATACTTTCTCGATATATGAACCGCTAGCTATCATACAGTTCACAGAATTGGAACAAAATTTTGGTTTAAAGTATTTTGAGGTATGGGCTCAGGATTCATAGAAAAAAAGTGAAACTCTGAAAATTAAGGCTACAGTAAAAAATTTCGAAAAACAACTGCTTAGCGAAAAATCATAAATAGTGTTTAAACGGTACCTATAACAAGAAAATCACCTGTCTAGACAGACTAAGAAGAAAAGAGAAAACAATTGTGGCTGAGAGAGTGAGAGAGAGCACGGCTTTCATCCCAGTCTACTGAAACTACCTCGAAATGAGAAGAAGAAAATAAGGTATGCAAATACCGTCATGACTGTCGTTGTCCTAGGGGTGGGAACTAGGCGAAAGAAAAGACACTGAAGAACACGTGCCGGGCAGGTAGTTTTCGTGCTGAACTACTGTGTCTTAAAAGTAAGACCAATTTTCAATTTATAATTACCGGGCTTATGGAATTTTAATTTTTTTCTTTTTTGGGTTGTTGGCACTGTCCTTGACATCTGCGTGAAATGTGACGCCAAAATATTCATTAGTGTTTGAATTACACTTGGCTTTGTGAGACTCTAAAACTGAACCGTGTTCACACCGTGCGACTTCTGGCTATTTCCTAAACTCAAAAGACCACTCCGGGACATCATTTTGAGTAGATTGAAGAGATTCAACGTGAATCGCTCTGAAAGCCACCCCTGCCGATGACTTTTTAGAATGCATTGAGGATTGGAAAAAAGTTGGCCTAATTGCATTGTATCCGGACGGGATTACTTTGAAATCGATGAAATAAATTTGAAAGAATAAATAAAGAGTTTTTGAAATAAAAATAAGTCTTACTTTTTAGGTACAGTAATAGGTACCGTTAACCTATTGATGGCTTTTCTGTTCGAAGATCCCATTCCAATAAAAAAAAAATAGGCATTGTCATTTGAAATTTTGTTGCTCTAACCATAACAGTAAGAGTTTAAATGTTTTGTTTCATATGACTTTTCAGCGTATACATCAAAATACCGTAAACCAAAAGTTTATTCAGTTTGTGAATGCGGCATGTCAATTATCGGCTCATATATTGAAAAAGGTTTTTTAAAATCATCTTCCATTCTATATGTGCAAATGGAATGAGACATGCATATGAACTCATTCATGCACTATTAATTGAGACAATTTTTAATGAAATTTTTGACAGAAGGATGACGTCAAATTCTTTAAAACTTTCAAAATAATAATTTAAAATAACAAGCTAATAAATAACAAATAAAAGATGCTTATAATAAATTAAGAAGCAAACAAAGAAGCCTATAAGAAATAAGTACAATTGAATATTGATTAAAGTGCCTACCGTAAAGTGTATTTATCTCTACCATCAACAATAAAATATGTCATAACAAGAAAATATATTTTTTTAAACATATAATACCCCTTACAATAATATACTGTATTTATGTTAATTAGTATTGAACTAGAGCTGTAACTTATAGTTGCCACTTTTCTAAATGAAGAAAAAATTTAAAAAATGTAATATGTCATTTAAGAAAAACTATAGACGTTAAATTTGCTTCTCTAAATATCACTAGTATAAAATAAACCAGGAAGAATATTTATTACAATGAACATTTCTTTCTTATAAATAATTTATTTTCTTTCAATTTATTTTTCCTACTAGAAATAAATTTTTTTATATAAAGGACGATCTAAAATTGCGATAAATCTTGATATTTATGTTGCATAAGTTTTACTTTTTTTTGTTATGAATAAATAAATAACTATGAAATATTTATTGTACTTTTCACAAAATAAAAACTGAAAGGAAAATTTAAACTAAATTTCAAAGAGTTTTACTTTTTGCACTTATAGGAATATTGTACAATACTTAAGAATGTGGTATAAAAGTATAGTCATAATATATACATGATTCAATGACGTATAGAATTATAGCATATTATTATTGTGAAGCCTATTACCATTTTTTTTCAGGGCCAGATTTTAGTGTAAGGCCGGGCCGCACGTTTTGAGCTAGATTGTAAATGGTTGTGATTGGGTTGAGATATCTGAGGCACATGTTTGAGAAATCACAGTTTAACTTCCCCACTTACCAACACCACACACATGCAATTAGACACATACAATATCTAACACTTTTAAAGTAAAAGATAAGTATAGTTCCATGGAAAGACTCCACTTCTGAGCTGATATTCTAGGCTAAGCGCAAGGTAAGCAAAATACATGCATCTAAATAAGATTTTTCTCTGGGTGAGTGTCTGTAGGCCAAATAATACGCAGGGCTGCGCTAAATTTATATAATCTCGGGGCTAAAGACTGTAGATTAATCAAACGTTCCTCAGAGGGAGGGCAGGAACGCGCTGTACTTCCTTTCCGATGAGAATCTCGAGGTCGACTGACCATAACGCTTCATAACGCCACGGGAGGCGCTCTTATTACTATGCAAAAGGAAGCATGGTTACATATTATTATATAATAATTGAAGAATTTTGGTGAATAATTGTTATTTCTTTTTGTGAAAAAAAGCATATTTATTAAGATGCCTATTCATGTGTTTGTTAAAGACATGGAAATTTTCAATTCGTTTTGAGTTTTGGATTTCTGTTTAAAAATCTATTACATTAGCTAATAAAGACCTAAATTATTTATATTTATGTTTGCATATGATTTAATTTTTTGTAAGACAAGATATAAACAATAATAATTTATGATTTTTTTTTTATTATCAATGTTTTTTAAAGCACAAATTTTTTAGCCTGTATTGCCGATTTAGCATGTCTATATTAATTTGCCATCAATTTATGGGGATATATCAACTTAAGAAAAATCATAATGTCGATTAAATCACATTACCAGGACTGATATTCATATTAATTACTATGAAACCCGTCTATGAATATATAAATGAAACCAACCTTTAAAGTTACCATTTAAGCTTTAAGGGGATTTTAAAATTGGTGTAATATTGAGTTAATTGAAATGAAATACTATTCGGAATCTATCATAAAGTCTATATGTTATTTTTTTTCAATTGAAAAATTAAATAATTGCGGAATTTAACTCATATTTTTGCATTAAAAATAGATTTTAATCTTTCAATAATCATAAAAATTGCTAATTGGACATGTTTTCGAACGAAAATGTAAAAATTTTAATGATAATCCTTTTTATAGATTTCTGCTTTGCCTAAACAACAAAATAGTTAATAATACAGTTAAGAATTAATTATATTTATTATTATATATTATAGTTAATGAGTGATATTTCAATATAGCAGCTAAAGTTCATGTTTACCAAATACAAAAGGAACATTATAATTGTTTGAAAATATAGCAATAGTTTTTTCAAGGAAATATAATTAGTTAGTGAAACAATATTTTTAAAAAATGTGTTGTTTATATTAAGCTAGTTAAAAATACATTTTATTCCAATTATTTTGATCTTTTGTAATTGGTAAAAATAATGTTGTTCAGAAAATATTTTTATAATTAAATGTATAGTAATATTAATTATTATTATTATTCATATCAATAAAAGAATATAAAAAGCGTAATAAGCAGGAAATTAATGATCTGATTAAATGCACGAATCCATCATTTTAATACTTAAAAATAACCAAGCATAAAACTTTTCTCTATTATAATTATTTATTAAAATAATGATAATAATTATAGTTTCATTTATAAATGGAAAGAGTTAATTATTTTGAATAATAACAAATAGAAAATAAGATAATTATTTTTTAGACGACAGTTTTTTCAATGAATAATTATTCAAATACAGTACATTTTAATGAATATTTATGAGAACTTTATTAATCGAAAAGATTTTCGGGTTAATTATATGGAAAATTTAGTTTAATTATTATATTAATTACGATTTATTAAATTTTTTTCTACATTTTTTTGAATTGATTAACATTGAAAAAAGTTCTTGTAAAAGAATGTCGCATGACTTTTCAATTATTGAAAAAGAATATTTTTCATCCAATCAAGTTCAAATACTTTTTTTAACTTGTAGTGGATGACACTGGATGTTAATACAGTTTTTTTCAAGCAGTAATTCAGTACTTAAATTTAATTCATTAATTTTAGTTATTTTTAGATTTAAGTTGCATATGTTTACCAATATATGGCACCAGATAAACTTAAAAAAATGAAGGGAAATTGTATATGAAAGACTTTCTGCAATAAAGTGAAAAACAAGTAGGAATTGACTTAAATTTTTTTTTTTATATTACTTGTTTTACTATTGCAACAGTTTTTTCAAGCGAAGAGTTGTGGTATTTCATTCTTAGGAGTGAAGAATAATTATTCTTTCATAAGTACATAATAACTATCTATCAGTCAAATGTTTCAGCAGATAAGCAGTATCGTGAATTATATTACATCGAATTAGTGTTTTGTGCTAATGAGAACAACCTGCCACTCAAATCTGATAACAGATATTCAATGTCCTGTATAATGAGATTCACGAAACCAGCTA